CATCCCCACCTGCATGTTCTTTTTAGTGTTACAATTAATATGCAGGAAATGCTTTGGAAATATTTGCTTTACCCATTTTGTTCTAATTATTTACTGTAGTCTAAAATAGGGTTTATTTTGATGTGGATCTATTCAGCAACTGCAATGTATTTAGGATTAACTGATCTGCTCTCCTGCATGACCCTCCTTGCTGGATCTGCCCGTTTGTTGTGCTCTCCCTTATCTTTGGGTCACCTGGTGAGAATATTGTGTCCTTATTGAAATTTTTTGTGTTCAGCCATGTTCTCTTTCCTTTCACAACTCCAACTTACAGTGAGTTAATGTACTCAGAGCCACTTATATGTTATGAAATCCATGCCTGATTTTACCACATGATACTGACTCTTAGAAATAAAGAGCATTCCACGAAGGGCAGTGATAAGATGCTAAGATGTAAAAATTAATCTAGAATAAACACAGAAGATACGCAGGATTGTTTCTGCATAGCAGAGGAGTTCTGACAGTACTACAGTAATGCCAGGGCAAACAGCAGGATCTCTAGGAATGCTATTCTTACAGCTGGACTGGACTTAGGCAAAGAGAGCGTTCTTTATCTTCAGCCCAAAGTTCTGGATAGTTAAGGATGCAGCTCTAAAAGGCAAGGACTTTACATGGTAGCAGAGATCCTTCTGGTGTGTTAGTGTCTTGAGTCAGTGTCAGGTGGTAGAGAAACCCTTTACAGCACAAGCTACAAGACAGTTTGAAAGTACTGCATAGGGAAGCACTGTGAGCTTGATGGTAGGAGGTGCATTATGTTAAGCTGTTGTGGACAAAGATTTGAACAATTCATTCCAGACAACCCCTATCAAGCCTTTCGCTGCCTGTTCTTATTGTACCTCCCCTAATGCACACACAGATAAGTTCTTTCAACGCTCAAAACAGCACTTGTGGCAGAGACCTCAAGCTACTTCATTCTCCCTTCTTTGTCATGCTCACGATGACATCTTATCACCCTCATGTTCGCAGCTATGTTCATTATACTAACAGATGTTCAAAGGGAAAAAAATACCGTTTCGGTTTGATCTGTGTATGTAGTTTCCTAAGGACCCTTTTCTTTCGTCGCATGGAGGTCACCAAAATTAGGCTTCAGAGATGTTTTAAATGTCAAAAGTATTCCTGTCTATTTGTAATAAATCTGTCAGTATGATTATTTGCACTGACTTTGTGATGCTGAACAATGTAATTTTTTAAAATTTTGATGCTTTGCTTCAAACCTTCCACTTCAAAAGTATCTAAGACAAAGGTGTAGTGCTGTCTTCTGGTATTCCCATTGTCTTGCAGTAGATCTTAGGGCAGCTGAGTAGGTGGGGGTTACCCTTCCATTTCTGCACAAAGAGTGTATAGTGGGCAGTGGTAAGCATTATCCTATTACGTAGCAGTACTACATATCTTCGTAACCTGGCTTTTGAAGAGATTTCTTTATCTGCTCCCCAAATATGCATTAGTACTGGTGTTCTGTACTATAACTATAACCAATTTGTACACCGGTACACAAACTGCTGCTGAATATACCCCTTTTAATCCCATAACCAGTGCACCCTGACTGACCCTCTCTTCCTTAGTACATTAGATGACAAGTTGACACTGGCACAAGTTCTGTATAGGTTCAAAGCTGAAAACATCTAAACATCTTTCAATCTCCAAAGCATTAAAAAAACCCCACAAAACCTCTAAACTCTATTGCTGCTGAATTTTAATTTTATATTATTTTTGGGAGTTTGGGAGAACAATAACCTACTTTACTAAGGAATACCTAGTTGCTTGTCACCAGACAGATGAGCAGTTATTTCTCTCGATTAGCACCTAATTAAAAAGAAAGCTGACTTTAAAAAAAAAAATTGCTTCAGAGGAGAAGGAATGAGCAATCACTGGTCCGATCATTTTAGATGTGATTCTGCCAACTGAGAGATGTGCTCTGCCTTAGGTACCAAGTCTCACCAAGCATGCAGTAAGCCTTTGGAGCAGAGGAGTAGCCTCAGCAGGGTGCTTAAGACAACCAGATGTGTGTGAGCTTTGAGAGGAATGGTGATCTTCAGGCAAGACCTAACATCATAGACATCTTTGGAATATAAGTTTTCTCTTGCTTGCTATATTCGTTTTTGTAAGCAGCAATGCGCATTAGTTTGTGCCGTGCCTTTGATGTGTTTTCTAGCTTGTTGATTTCTGGTGGATCTCAGTTGCAATTGCACCCAACAAGTGAGCAGTTGAATGCAGGAGTGTGTGTTAACAGCAGTATTAGGACTGCAGAATTCAGGAGGAAGGAAGTAGATTTTCATTTGAAGGAAGCACTTGGGAGGAGCTGCAAGGAGTCATTTCCCCTGATATCAGACCACTTAGTGGGAGCAAAGAGGGGATGTGTCCCTCTGCCTGGGCTTGGGTGGGGTAAACTTGTTACTTGTGTTTCATGGTGTGAGTGGAGAGCTAGTGCTTGGGAGCAGTTTTCACAGGGAAAATCGTAGGAGAAATCCTGGCGATAGCTGCTATTGTTTTACTGGTTTCCTGAATTGTTCCTAGGCTCCCACTGCTGAAACTCTGTGGCAGTCTGGCAGCTGGTTCTTTGCAGGAGCCGTGCTATCTAGGGCAGTGAATTAAATCACTAGTGGTCTTGCAGACTGGAAGACAGTCCATGAAGTGGCTGTAAAGAACAGACATGCAGACACCTGTTTATGGGCTGGTGGGTGTCACCGTCTGTGAGCCAGCACAGTCCATAGGCAGCCCCTACCTCCCTTCCCCGACCAGACTGGCTGAGGGTTGCAGGGACTTTGTTTACTCAGATACCTGGTGCTGTAGTTTTCACCATTGCCACTTTCCACACTTTCAAGAACTGAAGCAGTAGCAGGGACAAGATCATCCCTCAGGGATTTTTTCCCACAAGAGGTTACTTGCTTTAAGAAGCTTAGGGGAGCTGATAGGGTGTGGGGAATGCTGGCTGTCAAATGTAATGCTGGGCACAAGTGACTTTGGACACAAGAGTTTAGTGGATCTGAAAGAACACTCCCTGAACAGTTTGCCTGTCTCATTTACAACAAGTACATTTACTCTGCACTGAAAAGTTCTGGAGAAAATTTCAGAAGTTGAGTTACAGGGCATAGAGCTTTCTAAATGGAATGACATATTTGGAAAATAAGTGGCACTAATAAGGAAGTACTTGCCCCAACTATTAGGGACAATTTCTATTGCTTTATTACAGCTTCCAGGATAATATATTTAGGTATGCACTGATTTTCATTGATGCTTGTACATTTTTAGGCTAAAAATGGATAGTTCTGTTTTATATCAGTGTAGAAGCTCACAATTTCAGATATAATAAGGAAGCCAGTACCTAGTGGTTACTGTCCCAGTAAAAGTTGCACCCTTGCAACTTTTGAAGCCACACAACAACTCATCGAAGGAACAGAAGGTGCTTGAAACTGGTTACAAAGAGTGATAACTACACTGAAACATGAATTTAAATATTCTTTAGTGGGAAAGTACTTTGTAAATAGGCTTCATCCTTGAGTAACTATCGCTTTGCAAGCAAACAGTTAATTTGAGTACTCTTAACTAAGCTTAACTTTGTTTATTGGTCTGCTTATATATTTTGAAGAACTTGTAAGAGTATTACAGCTACTGCAGAAATTGACTTAGTTGTCCTTTGAAATAATATCTTTTTGAAATTATACTCACTCTGTTGGAGTTATATTTAGCAAGTGAGCCGGCACAGCATCATTCTTCCCCAAATTCCACTTTCTTATGCTGGTAACATTTCTCATAATTTTCAGTTCATTTTTTGGGTTCTTATACAATGATAGAAAACCTTTTAGCACACAGTGCTTAGGTATACCTGTTAATGTAATAAGTTACATGATGTTCTCATGTGAAAAGAAACTCATGTTACTTCATTTCTGTCTTGTATACTCACAGCACTGTATCAAATGTAGTTCACAAACAAACGAAGGAAGTTGTGGTAAGGAACTAGGGAAACCCATGCTCTGTTTCTGATTCTACTGATGGTTTGCTGTCTAACTGTAGGCCAGGGGAGTTGCTTTTCTTAAATTGAAACTGAGATTTGACTTGAAAGGAAAACTGCAAGTTTTCATCAGCTTTTGATCAAAAAACCTAATACTGATAAACTTTTCAGAGCACTTCAGAAGCAGCAATCGTTCCTGTACCTGGGATTACTGTGGGCCTGTTTCCCAAGCTTAATTGCTCTTAGATCTTTGGGTGCTCACCTTTGGACTGCATAGGAGATTGGCACCTGAGCTGCCCAGTTATTGAGAAAATGAAGAACAGGCAGTGAGTGTGTTTTGTTTTGTTTTGTTTTTTTTAAAAAGATAGAAATGGAAAGTTTCCTGAGGGATGTTTTTGTTATAGTCGAAATTGTTTACATTTCAATTTTCCATTTGAAAAAAATGCAGAAAATTCTTTACCACCTTTGCTGATCAGCTTTCATAAGTCTGACTTGCACTTGTCACCTTCCAGAACAGAATTTTAAATCTTTTCAAGTGTGAAAAAGGGGGAAAGAGATAGCCAAGTTATTTAGGTTTTTGTTTGCTTGTTTGTTTGTTTTTCCCCTCTTCTACCATGTTTGTTAGCAAACCTAGCACTGACAAGGCAGTTTTCTTTATCTGGTGTATATACTGAGAGAGTTCAAGGTTATGTCTAAAACGTAGTGTCTTATATGTACCAGGATTTTAACTGTGTTGTGTTCTTTTCTGTAAATACTTTTTCTCTGGCTTATGTTGTGATTCTGCTGTGCCAATGAGAACATAGGGAGACTAGAACAAGATCATCCTTGAAATTGTTGATCTTTTTTGTCACTTCTATCTACATAGAGTTTTCATTCTGTAATTATATTGTCTATATATTACTCCATTTTGTTAAAAGTAAAGGGTAATAGTATATAAAATAATGTGAATTGGGTATCTGTTGTAATAGGATTTTTTTTCTCATTTTACTTACATATGTATAATACATTTTAGGTATGGGAAAATTGTATCCACGAAGGCTATTTTGGATAAGACAACAAACAAATGCAAAGGTATGTATGTTTGCTTTTATATTGCATTCACCTGAAAGTCCTGTTGATTCTATAAAATACACTAATGTTGAATTTTAAGTGCTTTCAGTTTGGTTTTTTTGGGGGGTTTTTTTTTTTGACATTCTTATTCCTAAACTAGTCTTATTCTTGCCCCTGGTCAGTGTATTCAGGACATGTGTTTCCAGTGGAGCTAGCTGGCAGACAGCCTGTGTCAGTGGTGCAGCCAATTCGGAGTGAAGCTGAGATGCACTGTGCTGGCTGGCAGTTTGCCTCTATTTTAAAAACAAAAATGGAGTTAAAAGCAGCTTTTCTCCTATTGCCTGAAGAAACTAGGGAAGCTTACAAAAGACCATTCAACTGTACTACGTGTCTGAAAAAATTATATATTGTGGAAATCAGCTCCATTGATTAGAGTGTTTCAAAGCAGCACTTAATTACATGTTCCAGTTCTCTAATTGTGTTTTGTTATATGCTGTTGAATGTATTGAGAGCAAAGAGAGGGTTCGTTTTCACCGAAGTAATTGCAGCTGGAAAAAAAATATAGAAGTCCTTTAGATAAGCTGGATACATCAGTTCACTGATTTTCATCACTCATTGCAATTACAGTGAGATCATAATCCCAGCAATATGCATGGTGGGAGAAGGTGTGGTAGCAGACACTGAAATATCCAACTTCAGGCTTTCTTTTTTACAGTTAAGAGGATAACTGCTAAGCAAAGTGAGGAATTAAGTCAGCTGATTTAGCAATGTTAATAAGCGTAAAGCTTATGACTGAGTGTAAAGCTGATAGGCAAAGGCAGGAGAGTGGAATTCGTCATTAATCAAGACGCAGTTTTTGTGCAGAACTTGGAAGCGCTGCAGGGCATAGCTTCTTACCTCCCCATCTTAAGCAGTTAAGGGGTGCTGACAGTTCAGAAATGGATATTTCTAGAAATTTTTTTTCCTCAACTTGTATGCAGATGTCATCTGCATGTATTGTGCCTAGGAAAGAGCAGATGCCCTTTTCAATTACTTTAATTCATTAATACCTGTGAAAGCACATAGCTGATTTATTCTGTCCATTCCCCCAGTTCCTGAAGACTTCAGTAGCTCTGTTGGTGTGTGGTGGTTTTATCCTGGCCAGCAGCCAAACACCAAACAGCTGCTTGGTCACCCTGCCCTGATGGGATGGAGGAGAGAATCAGAAGGGTAAAAGTGAGAAAACTCATGGGTTGAGATAAAAACAATTTAATAATTAAAATAAAATAATAATTATAATAACAATAATGGAATATTCAAATAAGTGATGCACAGTGTAATTGCTCACCACCCGCTGACCGATGACCAGCCCATTCCTGGGTATTGATTTTGGAGCAGAGACAATCCCAAAACCGAAAAACCACAATCCTGGAAGAGCAAGAGAGCCTGAGCAATCCCAAAGAGGATTCCCCCAGCTTTCTGGTCTACCCTCATTTATATACTGAACATGGCAATATATGATATAGAATATCCCATGCAAATGCCATTTTGGGTTTGCTAATTACTATGCTCCCCTCCCAGGTGCTTTGCACCCACAGACTAGCAAAACATGTTGGGAAGTTGGAAATGTCCTTTGTCTTCCAGTAACAACTAAAAACATTGGTGTTACCAACATTCTTCCCATCAAAAATCCTGTACTGAAACCAAAACACAACGCTGTTCTAGCTACTAAGAAGAAAATTAGCTCTGTCCTAGTGATACAGAAATTCTCACTTTAGTGTTTTAAGAGATTTAAGCTAACTTTTCAAATAGAGTTTTAAAATCTCACTGGTGAAAAGTGGCAACTCACTGTTGTAACAATGTACAGCAAGTTAAGGCTGCAGGGAAGCTTGTTGCGTGTCACTGAAATTGCAGTAGGAACATAAGTAGACAGAATGCAGATATCTAACTGGAATTTAACCAAAAGCTTGACAGCATCTGTGGCTCTTGCCAAAAAAACATACCATGGGATTTAAAGTAACTGGAGCAACAAGTAATTAAGGGTATTTATCATCTAGAAGATGGCAAAGGCGGCTTTGATGGCATGCTTGGTACCAGTATCTAACTTTGTCTGTATCGTACCCTGCGGTGCGGTGGTGTTGATAACCTGTGCTGTCATGGGTATGGAAAGCTAGTTTTGGATATGGAAAGCTAGTTTTGCCTTGGCAGCACAAAACTTGATATGAGCTAATTCACTCTGTTTCATGTCAAGATTTAACAGTCCACAACACCACATGTTACACAGAACAATATGCTGCTTTCTTCAGCTTCTTGGCAAGTTAAATAAGCTTGCACTGATGTACAAGGTTGCTTGAGTAGTTTTTCCCGAGTTAAGGACTTTAAAGCTGGTTCAGTTATATCTTTACACAACTTTTTTGTCCTCAGTATAGATGTACTGTAAGAGGACACTATTACCTTCTGAAGAAATAATTCAATTTTTAATTGTTGGGGTTTTTGTTTGATTTCTTTTAACCCAACGTAGACATTGGAGAGGAATTTCTTTAATATTTGAGGCTGTTCACTGGTGGGAAGGAAGGGGGTTGAAAAATGCAGAATGAGTTCTGCGATAATGTCTAGAGGAAGTAGCTTCCAAATTCTGACTGCCTTTTGGTGAGACTTGAGCATCCAACTCCCAGGTTGCATTAAAAATCCCAGTCTGTAAGGTCAATGTCTGTAAAGGCCAACGTATATTGCTGTTCACATATCCTGGAATCCACTAGCTGTACATTGTTGTTCAGAATAAGAAAAGAAGTTCCTGCAAATATATGGAAATTGTTGCAGTTAACTTTGGGTTTACTTTAACATTTAAAGATTGCATACTATGGCATAGAAAATGCTTTCAGGATGACTTTTTATATTCTGTTTTCAGTAACAACAACAGGAAAAATTCACTTGATTTCACTAAAGCTGTTTTCATTCACTTTTTAAATTTAATTGTCTTTTATGTATATACAACGAAGTAATGAATTAACCAAAAATTGGGTTATGATGCAGTAGATATGTGTCTTTTAAACTAAATTCCTTTCCCAGTTTTGAGTAAATAACGTATAACTTAAAGGCTTATTGGTCACTTATTCAAACTGGACTAAGAAATTAGTTTAGGAAAATTAACAGATTATGCTTTACTCGGTGATCTCTGTGAAATAAACTGATAATATCACATTTGCTCTTAGAAGATACATACCAGATAACACAAAGCAAAGTACCATACTACTTGTTAGCACTTTGGACAAAATCCTGATGAGGGGGAATGGAAGTTGATTTGTTCCACTATGGTAGGTCCCAACCAGTTCAAGGTTCAAGGACTTTGGTAGATTGTTTTTGGAACGACATGAAGAACTTTGGAGTTCAAATTGGCCCTCTTCATCAACAAGAAAATTGTATTAAATAACCGTGCTAGTAGCATATGAACTGTTTGATTATAAGCTGGTTGCTGTCTCATTAAAGAAATATATTTTGTATTTCAGGTTACGGTTTTGTTGACTTTGACAGCCCGGCAGCTGCTCAGAAGGCAGTTTCTGCTTTAAAGGCTAGTGGAGTCCAAGCACAGATGGCAAAGGTGAGTTAAAATAACTGGTTAATTTTTGCAATGAGTTGTGAAGATGAACAAGCTTACACATTACCAGAGTGTCAGCAGTGTGAATTTTCAAGTTGCCAACCCTTTACATAGAGCACAGTCCTCAAGCTAGGTGATAAATTAAGGTGACATATTCCAAATCATCTCAACTGATAAAATAAAGAAACATAGTATGGTAAAGACTCCAAACTAATCTGGTTGGATTAGTAAATTTATTCATGATACTATTTTTCCATTAGTTTCATCAAAAGAAAGATTAACAATAAATTGTAAGAACTATGTCAGGCTTAATGGTTTAAATACAACTTGTTAATTCCTGTAGAAAATCAACAGTTGAAACAGTTTATGGCACAAAGGCATGAAAGGTTTTATATGTTGTGTGCTTGTTGTTACTGAGGTTAGCAGCCTCACAATTTGGGGATGAATTTTTAAGCTCAGCATGGCAAAATTTAACCTTACGACTTTGTCTTCAGCCTTTCTAATATATTGCCCGTTAACATAAGTAAAATTCAAATCTGGGCATTCATGATAGATGTCTTGAAATTCTTAGCCGACTCTTTGACAACCTATTTCTGCATCAGGACAAGCCCAGGCATTATTAAAAATAAAGACATATGATCTTTCTTCTTTTTCTCTCATTTTTACTGATCATAGAATCATAGAATGTATTGGGTTGGAAGGGACCTTCAAAGGTCATCTAGTCCAATCCCCCTGCAGTAAGCAGGGACATCTTTACTAGAGCAGGTTGCTCAGACCCCCATCAAGCCTGACCTTGAATATCTCGAGGGACGGGGCCTCCACTACCTCCACTACCTAGGCAGCCTGTTCCAATGATCTACCACCTCCATGCTGAAGAACTTTTTCCTAATATCCAGCCTAAATTTACCCTTTAGTTTAAAACCATGACCCCTCGTCCTATTGCTACATGCCCTTGTGAACAGTTCTTTCACAGCTTTCTTATAGGCACCTTTCGGGTACTGGAGGGCTGCTATAAGGTCCCCCCAGAGTCTTCTCTTCTCCAGGCTGAACAACCCCAACTCTCTCAGCCTGTCTTCATAGGAGAGGTGCTCTAGACCTTTGATCATTTTTGTAGCCCTCCTCTGGATACGCTCCAACAGGTACATGTCCTTCTTGTGTTGAGGGCTCCAAAACTGGATGCAGTACTCCAGTTGAGATCTCACCAGAGCAGAGTAGAGGGGCAGAATCACCTCTCTTGATCTGCTGGCCACACTTCTTTTGATGCAGCCCAGGGTGCAGTTTGCCTTCTCGGCTGCAGATGCACATTGGTGACTCATGTCCAGCTTTTCATCCACTACTACCCCCAAGTCCTTTGCCTCAGAGCTATTTGCCGGCACTTCATCTCCTAGCGTCTCTAGATCACGAGGATTGTCCTGTTCCAGGTGCAGGACCCTGCACTTGGCCTCGTTGAACCTCAGGAGGTTCACCTGGGCCCACTTCTCTAGCCTGTCTTTTTAGATCAGATGGCCTGATTCCAATAGAGTGCCATAAACACCACTACAAATGTTATTTAATAAAGAAAATATTACCAACATAATCTGTTCATATAATTTGTGGTATCTCTTAAAGCAATTTGTTTTTGTTTTTTGTTTTTGTTTTTTTTTTTTTTAGTTTGAAAATTATATTCTAATAAGAAAAAAAATCCAGTAATTAAATGGTAATCTCAGAGGCTTTTTTTTAATAAAGTAGTCTACCGCAAATCTAGCAAATCTTTTATAGTTATCCATTGGGTACAGATTTTTTTCAGATGAGATACTTTCCACAGCTTCTCAGCTGAGGAGAACAGTTAAGCTAACAACATAAAATGTCTTTGGATGGATTCCAGGGCAACAAAATGAAAACCATATGTTTCATACTTAATGCATGTTTCATTACAGTCATGACACAAACATACATGCTAACTGGAAAACACTTGTGTTGTAGATTTTTGATTTTTTTTTTTCTTTTATAAGGTTTTATGTATGCTTAATAAAGACTAGCTGTTTTCAAAGCCTCTGTCATCTTACGGATACGATATCTAGGTAGGAGGGGAGAAAAGAGAATGTGAAGTCATGTAAATTCATTTTTCTAATGAATTTTGATGTCTGATTTAATTGTCTTCTTGAGTAGATGGAGAAACTCTAATAATTCACTATAGTAATCTAATGAATAGTTTCTTAATTTTTTCCATAGTGTATTTTTCTGACTCATTTCCTCTGACAGTTAGTTACAATATTGCTAATATTTCTTTCTGTTAGCATTAATGAAAAAATGTGCACCATAATACTTGACAGTTTTGATTGATTTTTCTGACACTGTGTGTCTAGCCTGGTGACCTGTGGGAAATCTGTAACTATAAAATTTGCATTAGAGTGAAACTTGTTCAGCTTCTTAACATGGAATGAGTGTTTGAACTATTAAAAAAAAGACAAAAACAAAAACCCCACACAAAACCCCAAAACAACCCAATAAACAGTTCCACAACAATCACAATTCAATAAGACTTTGAGTGCTTTGATTTTAGCCTATTTTGAGCCATTGGATTTTTTTTTTTTTATGCTGCTCTCCTTTTGCCTGAAAAATCCCGTCTCCTCTTGGATGCTCTAAACTGGGAATTCCTAGTTACAGTTGTTATGGCAAGATTAGCAAATCAGACCCTTCACATGCAAGTCATTATAGAAGTTTACTTGTGGTTGTGTATTTAATATTTTATCCTTTTACATGTCTACGCCATGAAGTGATCTTCTTGCCATAAAACTGTTCAGGCTTTAGTCACAAGGAAAGATCTGGAGGATGGTTTCTTGGCTGTCTGGGCAATGGATTTCCTCGCTGACCATACAACTACATCAGTTTCAAAGATAAATAAATGCCTGTTGGCTGATTTGTCCGTGGGAAGGTGTTATTACGCTGTGCCTGGTATGTGGGCCAGCAGCACGGCTCCTCCATATTCTTGTCCTCCTCCAAGCTGCGGTGGTAGTTCCAAGCCTGCAGCAGCTGAAGGGGAAGGAAAAATGTTATTGCTGAAGCCTTGTTCTGACTCTGGCTGCCCTAAAACTTTTT